CTTCAGTTTCATTTTCCTACTAACAAACTATGTTAAATAATTTCCACTCTGCAGGGAGGAAATAGGTGTTCCAAAGCATTCTGGAGGCACAAAGAAATGCTTATAGCAGGAGTAGATGCCAAGCTGAGATCCAGGAGGGAGCAGTGTGACCCACCCTTCCTCAGCATCATTTACTAACAGCACCAAGCCCTCATGGTCAAAATACTGACAAAGAAATACATACTAATGGGATTTTCATCTATCTTTGAAGATTTAGGGGAAAAATTTATATATATATATATATATATATATATATATACATACATACATACATACATACACACACACACACACACACACACACACTGCCCATCTTAGGATTCAGCTGTGATACTTTTATACAGAGCAATGTTCTCCAAGTATTCTACAGCGAATGGGCTGTCAGTGTCCTCAATTAGACTCCGAACAGCTCACTTAGATGTCATGATTTACACTTCTGCAGGTTCTACCAATGCCCTCTCCTGTTGTAGCAGCCACTCAAAAAGCTGCTTGTTGGAAAAGTTAGACTTAAAACGAACACTCATTTTTAAGCAACATATAGTTCAGTTTTTACTCAATGTTATCAAAAAGGCAATTGATATATAAATAAGTGTGTCTGCCAAAGCATGATTAGTATGGCTTTTATAAAAATCAGATTTAAAAACCCCAAGTTAGAGTGAAAGGAGAGCTTACATGGGTTCAGTGTTAAGAGAGGTGCAGTGAGAATGAACATGGCATGTTCCTCTCTTTTCAGTAATTTTACCTATTATCTTTTAGGAATTTCACAGATGGGGGGCTGTATACAATGGTAATTTGTTATTTACAATTTTTCCTTTAACTTTTCTCGAACTCATATCCTTGAAAGTAATTTTCAGTGAGCTCAAATATTTCTCCAAAGACTTTTTCATTTGCTTATGATGAAAATAAGTTTGGAAAAAAAAAAAAACACCTACTTTGTCCCCCTATTATACATTCCTGGCCATTCAATGTTCCGTCTCATTTAAACAAAGTATAATATATAAAATTCAGATTTTGTTAAGCTTTATTTTGAAATCTGATAATCACTACTACTACTACTACTACTACTACTACTAATAATAATAATAATTTTCTTACTAAGGATTGGTTGTTCTACATGCAAGCTCAGTCTCATTTCAAATAGCCATGCTCAAAAGCCATGGAGGGACAGCCCTAACTGCTTTGAAATGAACATTAGATTATGGGTTGTGTCATTATCTAGAGTAACTTCTTTTGTTACTTTAATATCTAAAGAGTAAAGATGTGAAGATATAATGTTGGTAGGCCATCTCTAGTTCTGCACCTCAAGTGCCACTGTTAAAGAAACGGAGCCAGTCATTCAAATAGTGTACTTTATAAGACAGGATCCTGTGTTCTAATCCTGTTACCCGTTCATTGCTCTTGTGTGGGTCAAGTAACTTCTCTACGTCTTCCCCATTTCCAAAACAAGGAGGTTGGACTTGGAGAATGATTTCCAGGATCTTTCCTATTCTAACACTCCAAAATTTCTTCTGTGACTTCAGAGAAGGTGTTGTGAGTATCTCACAACTGATCATCCTAAAAGGGGTTACATCCTAGATTGAAAATAAATATGTTTTGTACCATGAATGAGCCATAATTAAGGTTTTATACATGCAACGTGCTACAGGGCAGAAAGCCCAAGAGAGAACAAAGGAGGGCTCACATGGGTTTAGTGTTGAGAGAGGTGCAGATATTGGGCACTTTCCTCTCTTTTCAGTAAATCTACAAAGCTCACCTCTCTGAAACGAGGGGATTTCACTCAAAATCTATGATATTTTGTCACAATTTCATTCCAGAGGTAAGAAGAACAGGGCATTCTGAATAGATAGCAATTCAGACGTGGATGGAAACTATACACCATCTAAAAGCCCAGTGAGGTCTGTTTTGATTTATAGGATGATTGTGCCTGTATCTTTCCACCCTCTAGTATGTATGGAGGAAATAACATGAAAGAGATTACATATCAAAAAGAAAAAACAAAACAAACAAAAAAACTGGCAGCACATATTCCAAACACACTCCCTAGGCTGTGGGAGAAAGATGTTGGAGGTGCCCAATCAATAAAGAGGAGTGATGTCTATCCAAAACATAAAAAGATAATAGCATGGGTGAATCCCCATTGTATGGACACAATTTAGCTACCAATTAAATATTACACGGGAGACCATCTGACTTATTTTTATGTGTGTGTGTGTGTGTGTGTGTGTGTGTGTGTGTGTGTGTGTATGTGTGTGGTTGGAAGACCAATTGAAAAGAGATGAGTTCTAAAGTATATGGACTACTCATTATCATTTAAACATTAAAAACATTAATCTGAAGTATAGTTTAATCTGAAACTGTAATTTCAGATTAAGGCAATCCACTTTAGCTTCACACACAGAAAAAGTTGCCTCACCCATACTGAACTGCCAGAAGACAATGTGGTTCAGATGAACTCAGGTATTAACTGCAGATATCAAGTTCTTACAGGATACACAAAGGGCTCCTTAACTAAATTCCAGATTCTGCTAGAGACCCATGCATTCCCTTTTCTTTTTCTAGTCCATAGCAGAATTAACTTTCTATAGATAAGGTAGGGCATCAGGGTTGATTGTAGGTTGGCCTGTTCCTAGGGAAACTGAGGAAATAGAGTGGGTGGTTGGGGGTGTGGTTCTGCTCCACCCCCCACAATTCCCATCATCAGAAGGGAGGTTCAAATATCTTGTGAAATCTAATTGTTTTTTTGTGTTTGTTTGTTTTTACCATGTTTCTCCTCAACTTGAAATATTCTCTCTACCCGGTTCCTATCCAAATCACAGTCACCCTTCAAGACTCTCACATTCTTACCTTTCTGTGTATTTTCCTTGTCTACTAGATCTCTCACTCATTTCACTCCCTTTTGAACTCAATTGGGTATAAATAATCATGCCACGTAATTTAATGCCTCATTCTTCACAATCTATTGTACAATTCTAAAAACAGTTTCAGTTTCTAACAAACTTGAGGGTTTGTACAATTTTCTATAACAAGGACTCTAACACACATTTCTGTAGGGACACTGTATATTATGGTGACTGAAAACACAAAAGACTCTGAAATCAGACTTCATTGATTAAGGCCTAGGCTTTAATACGTGTTATGTGAGACCTGGCTCAAGATACTTACCTGCTCCAGACCCAGTTTCCTGTCTGAAAAATGATGATAATAAAATTATTACCCATATTGAGGAGGTGCCTATAAAT